TTTAGCTTTCCAGATGCTGGGCCAGTGGGAGCAGGATGTGATGCAGCCATTCTGGAAGACGCTGGCAACTGTTGTAAAATTGTCATGTATCTCATATGAGGCAGAGGTGGTGTAGTGGCAAGTGGCACTGTTAGCACACGCACGCTCTGGGGGTCAAATCCTGGATCGGCTCTCTCCAGACCAACCAGACCCTTTATCCTCCGGAGACGATGAACTGATACCAGGCGATGTATAAGTCAGTGTTATTGTCTAGGAGGTCAATAACACTGACTTATACGTCGGCTGGCCCGAAGGTAATTGTACAGGTCACATCGCATTCAATAGCCCCTACGTTTATCAATGGAACTAGTATGCAAGCCGCTTCTCAAAAACGGAATGATCAAAGCTTTATAAGCTCACATATGGGAATATCCCGTAAGAATTAGAACCCTACCCAGACGTGTCAAACTGTCTTCTTTCTTGAACTTATTTTCATTTTGACTCCGACTTTCAGGTTCAGCACAACTAAAGCGGGCGCGTCAGTGACGGGGGAGGGGCAATCGGCTCTTTTCCTGCTTCCAACCCAGGTGTCGAGCCATTTACGGAGCTCTTTACAAATGTTACCATGGTGGCTCGAAGAGCTTGCTCCAGCCTCACAGAGTGAAACCTGTTAACGGAACTAGTGAAACAGCAAAAGGGCAAAATGCTTCCATCGTCCCCGAGAAGCGCCATGAAGTGCGCATTGCATCATGAAGCGCAGGTCCGCGTTGCGCAGACAAGTAGGAGCTAGTTTGACACGCGAGTACATGATTCGGTCTGTTGTAGCACTTCACAATGAAGTCCTGGTGCGAGTGCCGCGCACGCGAAATCACTTGTAACTCTCTTTTCGCAGCACGGTCGCAACTCGGACTTCCTGCCTTGCACCTTTCACTTGCATCTCTGGTGCCTTCACCGCGTTGCCCTGATGTTTCCTTCCTGATAACATCAGTTTTCAATAAATTTGCAGCTCTTGTGAACCGCCGACTGGAGCGTTTTGTGACACTTCAGAGACCTGATTGAGACCTTTTTGATTCGAAGGTGTGACGGCACTGCATAGACCCAGACATAAGAGTCATCCGTGTCTCTCTGCCAGCAGTCCTCTTTCGTCCGTGCCAGTGTACCTTTTCGAGAGCGTCTCTTTGAGCGTTCGCGAAATGTCACCGCGACTTCACTTACGTTCAGAAGCCTTAGATTGAGCTGGGATCTGACTGATTCAGCTATCAATCAGATTTCACGACAGCTCGTCTGACATGCAATGTAAGAAGAATGGCTGACACTTCAGTGAGGTTCATATATAACACTGCTATTTGGGACGAGAGACTACATGGGACAATTCGCTTGATTTTCCAACACGCTTCTGTGGACACAGCAAGGGAGGAAAAGTATTCCATTCGGCAAAATTTTGACGCGGGCGACTACGGTCTCAGCAAACACGTTGGGGAAAACGCCCACGTCGAGGTCTGGAGAACAACGGTACCCGGCTGAACGTGAGAGCGCAGAGACAAGTTACATACATCTCCGGCAACAGCCAAACTTGCAGTTGGTCGTGTGGCGCGCTGCGTGTCTGCAGCACATTCAGCTTGCAGGTGGAAACATAAGAGAATGATCAGCTGTCACAGCCCTCATTCTTCAGTGCCACGCACTTCCAAAGTAGCGAGAGTGGTGCACGGTTGAAGCCATGCTTATGTCCTCATGGCAAAGTCAACGTCGTTTGTTTCCACCTGCAAGCAGATAAAGTGCGCCTTCGAATGAAAGCTCGTGATTGGGAATCACGAATAGAGTCAGGGTTTTTTGTTTTTTCTCGAGAAATCCACATGTTCTGTGCACATCTCGTGATGACGTCATACGTTTGTTTTATTTGATACGCTGAAGTTTCTTTTACTGTATCATATATGTAAGCCTTAAAACACACCCATCCAGCAATAAAACCGATGAAGTGAAGCAGAGCGAGAAAAAAGGCCACGTAGACGCTCATGTGGTTCGATGGCAAATGCCTCAGTAAGCACATAAGGGACCTGGAACTCGCTAGTTCAGTCAATGTCCAACATCGCAACAAAACTTCACACAGACTGCTCACCCGTATATTTTATCGATTTTTTCGCACTCAATGGCTACCGAATCGAATAGCAGATAGAACACGATTTGTATAGAGTTAAGGAAAAACATTGTTAACATCACTATCGGTACACCAAAGCGAAAGACTGAAAAAGAGCCGTCAGATGCGTTCATACTTTGCGGCAGCTTCCACCAGCGACCTCTAGCGTTCTGAGCATCCAATAGCTTCAGCGACTAGGAAAGTATAGATGAAGATCTAGCGTCTGCAGCGTCTACCAGCGTCCAAAAGTATCTCGAGGGTTAGGGAAGCACAGGTATCGATCTAGCGTCCGCCAGCGTCTTCCAATGCCACCCTCGTTCATCGGCGACCGGCAGTAGAGAGTATGGGGAAGTAAGAGGGTAGCAAACAGCTGGCGTTGTGAAATTGTGGCGTGTGCAACCGCACCGTATGGCTACATTACACCGTACATTAAATTGCATAATTCTGTGCTTTAGCAGTTGTGCGGTGCGGTTGCACACGCCGCAATTTCACGACGCCTAATCCAGCTGTTTGCTACCCTCCTCCTACTTCCCCATACTCTCTACTCCCGGTCGCTGGCAGACGCTGGTAGATGCTGGCAGACGCTAAGTCGATATCTACAGGAGGGGGGGGGGCAAAAAAAGACACTTTGGCCGAGTCACATATCAGTAAAGTTCGCAGCCCAGACAGAAGACGTGGATACGAGTACCAGGGCGGAAGATACCCAAGATGTTCCTCGATAAGCAGGAGCAGGCTCTCGTCCATCACCTTCATGTACACCAAAATATGAAGCCATCTCCAATCGCAGCCGGACTGGAGAAGGCCTATGGAATTCACGTCACCTCCAAACAGCTGCGAAACTTCTAGTATGGAGTCACCCATGGATAGCTACCTGGAGACCAGTACTCTCGATCTGGATGTCCAACATCGAGCAGCTCCGACAACGTCGCCACGGTCTAGGACATTCTTCGACCATTCAGTCCGTCAAGGCGGCGGAGTTGATGGTATGACCGAAGTCCTGAGATGGAATGACCGATAGTTCTTTTGGACTGAAAATGGACGCTGACTGTTACAACGAGCAACTCGGGGAGAACATCCTGCCTTCATGCCGTCGCCTGTACCGCCTAGGAAACTTCGTACAGCTACAGGATTGGGTGTTTGCACATGGAAGAAGGGCGTCGGAAAAACTCCCGCCTACTTTGAATCGAAGGACGTTGAGAGCCTAAAAAGATGAAATTCCCAAGTGTGTCACCTGACGTAAACCCCCTCGATTATCGGGTCCAGGAGGAACTCAACAGGGAGGGTCTACAGTGGCGGGAGAAAAGCTACGACAGTCGCCGAACTCACTGATCACGTCGCAAGCAAAATCTTTTGGAAAGGGCCTTCGTCAGAGGTGTGGAAAATTTCGTGTGCATGCGGTGTTGAACTTCGATCGTGACAGTTCTCAATCAGAATTTAATTAAAGTGTAGCGTTATCTCGCCTTGAAGGTCGAGGGCAGAAAATAATTTTTTTGCCACACTTCATGGTCACCGTTTGCCTGACGCCTCGGTTGCTACGCGGACGCTGGTAGGACCCTTCTCCTCAAAGCATAAACGCATGTTTACTGGATAGAAATGACACAAGATAAAGGTAATAGCTTACCGTCATGCTCGAAAAGTATTACTAGCAGTATGAAAAACAGCACCATGATCTGGAAGAAGTATCGCTCCGAGCGGAAAAGACACTTTCAGGCGAATGTTTAATTACTCTGACCAAACGATGGTTTTCGATGAAAGATCTTCATTGCTAGCCGTCTTGGACCTTCTCATCTTCTTCAGACGGCGAAGATTCCCATCCGCTGCGGAGCCTAATCATGTGTGGTGTGTCCAGTAGATTAGTAAGAAGGGTTTCGGTTCCTTATGTTCGTCCTTTCTAAGCTATGACAATACCAGTGAAGTAGGTTTCGCACCGGTGGCGAACTTCCGCTTGGTCAGGGCGAGAGACGAGTTTGAAAACGCATCAATGAAAGGTTCCTGAACAAGCATCGTCGGCAGGGAGTAACTTAAACATTCGACCATGATGTCGATGCTCGCAACATGGGACGATGTGAACATTATCGAAGAATTCCATAATAATTGGATCTGGGCCTACGCTGGTCCCACAGTTAGCATGCTAGCTTGCCTTTTCAACATCTGTAGAGACTGCCCATGACATGTCGCTTTTCTGACGGTATATTAGCTTCGGGTTCGACAAAGGGAACTCCGCGTGGCCGGGGCCTTAAGGAGGACGCTAGCTTCCCAGGCGACACCCAGTAGCGGAAAGTGTTATGACGGTTGCTTTTCGACAAGCCGCAGTAGCGTCTTACTTTGTCCCCTCACAGGATGCACGGGAGTGGTAGTCTCACCGCTTGCGCTATCAAGGTGCAGCACTTGCATCGATACCGAGCTCCCGCAGCGAAACACGTACTCAGGCGGTAGAGAACAATCAGAAGTGAGAGAGCGCAGACAAAGAGCGTGTTCGGCTATGGCATAGCGCCTGGCTGACCCTGCGCAGCGCGGAATTTTGGAGACGGCACCCTCGCAAAACCACCATCCAGTCCCGTTCCCATGCACGTTCAACCGGAGAACGTGCCGACAGTCGTCTGCAGCTGCCGACTCATTCACCTCCACATGGCAAAAACCAGGATCTACGGAGATGATTGTCCAATTTGGATTCGCAACCCCGAAATTCAAATGGACCGGCCTGGTACTTACCTCAGATAATTAGTTCCTGAGCATTTACTGAAAGTTTAGTAAGGTGTATGTGCGGATGGGCGGTTCATAAGCATAGCTTCTGCTGTGGGTGAGACAAGAGGTATGATATTCTGCCCTGACCCCGCACAGCTCTGACACCTGCACCCACCGACGAACGGAAGGATGTGTTCAGTGGTTAGGTGGCAGGAACGTGAGCGCCGCGCGCCGATCTGCTCGTTGCAACCGCATGGAGTGCCACATTCTTGAATAAATGGAAAGTTACCTCTAAGAAGATTTCTGTAGCGAAGTACGACGACTCAGTGCCTTTGTGAAGACGGTGGAAGACAATGACTGCCATGAAGGCCACCAACATTACGCAAATCATCTTGAATTTTTTTCTTGTCAAAATTATTTACTCCGTACTAATGCAAAATATGTGATAGTCACTCACCTGTATATACATAACAAATGCTTTAGTTGCAAAATACAAGTCCTGGCGCCTCTTTGCTCGAAGTACCCCATTCCTGGAATTACTCTTGCCGCCAACTTTACATATCACCAGTGTAAAGCAGCGCCGAAAAACTCACTGCGTCAGACCATGACAGTAAACGGCAGCTTTATATTCGCGAATCGCCTGCCGATCTCGTGATGCCGCTGCTAATTCAAGTAACTCTTGCTCAGTGAAGTCCTCCTCCTGAAAAGTTTCGTTCAAGCACAAGG